CCCTTGCTTTTACATTATTAAGTTGCTTTCAATAGTTTGCTTTATCTTTTAGAATTCAACTAGAAATAAAGCTGATGAGCTCATGGTTGTGTGTGCATGTTTTCTTGGATAACTGACATCTTTTGATGAATTTCTCTTCCATCGAGCAGACGGGTTTCCTTGGCCTTTGGGGAGAAAGCGTAGATGCAGTCGACATTTATACAGCGAAAGTTGAGAGATAATCTAGAGATGTAACATTTCTTTTTATGCAGTCAACTTTCCTTAGAAAATCAACTATATTGCTTTGGCACATTATTTTTATGAAGTATTTGTGCCCAACATCGTATTGGTGTATGATTGTATGTCCAGATATAGGTGAAGGGATATGATCCTGTAGTGACTCTAAATGCATGATTTTTTAATGACTCCTTACTTTTTATGAAGTATTCATGTCTGACACTCGTGTCCAACACTTGAATATGGGGATGTGACCTCTAAGGATCCTCTAAATACATGGAAAAAATAGAAAAAACTTAACCATATCCGTATCGGATACATACCTATGTCTTACACTTACACCCAAGCTCGAGTAACGTAGACCTCAAATACTCATTTTAAGATCCCCAATTTGTCGACCAATGTACTGGTTAGTTGTTCCTTAAGCTTATTATGTCCATAACCGGTAGTAAGCATGGTTTCAGACTCAATAGCTTGTAGTTTTAAGCTGCATGCATGCATCATGCATGAATATTTAATCATTGGCTTCAGTTTCTAAATCCAACATTATTGCTTGAAATGATTATCTCAATAGTATTTTTTTTTCATTTTTCTTTCTTAATCTTTGAACTTATCAAACTTATTTGCATTCAAATAGTGTAAGTGAAAGTGTGTGTTCTTAATCTTCTGTTCCCTCCATGACTGCCAGATATCCCCGGAGAGGGAGAAGATTACTAACAACCCTAAATCAATCATGCCGGTAGCGTTTGTTTCCTTCAAAACTCGATGGGGAGCTGCTGTTTGTGCACAAACTCAACAATGTAGAAACACGACTTGACCGAGTGGGCTCCGGAACCACGAGACGTGTACTTGGAAAACCTTGCAATTCCATTTGTTTTTCTCACAATCCGGAGGCTCATTGCCGCTGTTGCATTGTTCTTCCTTACATTCTTTTTCATGATTCCTATCGCAATCGTGCAGTCCCTTGCTGATATAGAGAGCATTGAGAAAGCAATTCCTTTCCTTAAACCTATAATCCAAGCGTGAGTTTTCTTCTTCTTCTTCTCTATAATATTCTTGGTCTTTCATTGAATAGCAAAGGAAATTGTTGTCGTCCTTTTATTGCTTTTAGGCCAAGCTTCATTAGCAAATAACTATAGTAGCTACTAAAACTTTCTTTAGCTTAAACATTTTTTTTACTTTTTACACTTTTCGTTCAACCGCATAAAATTAATAGAATTAATATTTCTGCAGGAAGTTCATAAAGTCATTCATTCAAGGCTTTCTTCCTGGGATTGCTCTGAAGTTATTTCTTATATTTCTGCCCACAATATTGATGATAATGTCGAAGTTCGAAGGATTTATCAGCCTACCGGCTCTGGAAAGGAGATCAGCAAGTAGATATTTTTTCTTTCAGTTTATCAATGTGTTTCTCGGAAGCATAATCACCAGAACTGCATTTCAGCAACTAAATCAGTTCATACATCAGTATACTAAGAGTATGTTCTCATATAGCCTTATTCTCTTTAGTTCTATCACTGGTCAAGCGTACGTTCATGTGCATGTGCAGTCGTAGTATTTATTGTCATCTTTTATGTTGTCTGTTTTATCCTTAGTGGCCTTGAGAGTTTAGGATCTAATTTAGCAGTGGTAACATAGCTAGTACGGCTAGTGATTTTATCATTCAAATATTTCTCTTATATGTCCGCATGTGGCAACTTGTAGGATACCAAAGACAATTGGTGCGTCAATTCCGATGAAGGCAACATTCTTCATTACTTATAATGGTGGACGGTTGGGCTGGAGTTGCTGCCGAAATACTGAGGTTGAAACCCTTGATAATCTACCACTTGAAGAATTTCTTCTTGGTTAAGACCAAAACGGACAGGGAAGAGGCGATGGATCCCGGAACCATTGGTTTCAATACCGGAGAACCTCAAATACAGCTTTACTTCTTACTCGGTCTTGTTTACGCTGTGGTTACTCCTATCTTGCTTCCTTTCATAATCGTGTTCTTCGGGTTGGCTTATGTCGTATACCAAGACTGTTTGTTCTGTGTTCTTTGCAGATTCTTACTCTCATACGTACTTAAATGAACTTGTAGATCATAAATGTCTACAATCAAGAGTACGACAGTGCTGCTGCATTCTGGCCTGATGTTCATCTACGTATCATTTCGCATTAATCGTCTCGCAGTTGCTACTAATGGGACTACTGAGCACAAAAGAAGCTGCCTCATCGACGCCATTGCTTATCACCCTTCCTGTATTGACCATATGGTTCCACAGATTCTGCAAAAAAGCGGTATGAACCGTCTTTTGTCTGGTATCCTTTACAGGTTGGCTATCTGTTGAACCCTGCTTACATGACTAGAAGTAATTCAACATACCCCCATCCAACACTTTTTTTGTTTGTAGGAAACAATGATGAAGGATACATTGGAGCGAGAAAGGGAACCGTACTTGAGCTTGAAAGGGTTCCTTCAGAATGCCTACATGCACCAGGTTTTCAAAAGTGCCGATGACGACGACATCGATCTAGCCATGCGAGAGTACCGGGAAGAGGAACCTTCCCTCGTCGCTACGAAACGCAAGTCGAAAAGGTCTACACCGTTTTCAAGCAAACATGGTGGATCACCCCTCCCTGCCTGAAGCAAGCACAGAGCTCAAAGCCTGAAAAATGCTCAAGTTTTGTGGTTCATAACCCCTTCACTTTGTACATTTAGGTGTTTGGGAGGTTAAACTGGATAAAGTCCCCACATAAGCTGCTTTCCTCAGTTGGCAGGGTGCTGTTAATACAAGTGTCCCGCATGATGGTAAGGTATTTAAAACTAGAAACTTCCAGAACTAAAAGGGCAAGCCACTTTGTATCTTCCTCTTCGACCGGAGGTGGTTATGTTTTTTCTTTGGTTAAAATTTACTCTTTCACTTGTATATATCTAATGGTTGATTTATATAATCTGATCAAAACAATCAATTATTCTGATTAATTTATTTATTTTTTTTATAAATTATTCTCATAATTTTATTATATTTTTTATTAAATGGCTTTTATTTTCAAGTATCCAAACATAACCCCTTCTTACTTCTCGAATAACGAAATCAAGTCTTCTCTTTTTTTTCCGGCACTTAAAAGCTAGATCTCCATGCTCATGGCGACCGTTGTCAGCTGAGTCACTATCAGCACCATCTTCATCATCAAAGCTCTGGCGACGCACAATCCCAGGATCATACGGCTGGCCTTTGGTAGGAATAATATCCGACCGTCTAGACTACTTCTGGTTCCATGGACCAGACACGTTCTTCAGGTGTAGAATTGGTACTAATGTTCCCCGGATTACAAGCCGGGCTGAAAGAAGAAGTGAGAAAACCATCCCACCCATCACGAGCTAGAGTTTAACTCGGTGGAAGATACGGAGCTAGTGAACTCAGTTGTTTACGAGACGTTGCGCTTCAACCCGCCTCTCACGATTCAGTTCGCTCGAGCGAGGAAGGATTTTGAACTCAGTTATACGGTCGAATAAGCAATGTGCAGGATCGGCTTCGTTAATACTAGCTAGCGTGTTTCAAAGGTATGATCTAATCAGAGGGGGATCTGGTAAAATCACAGCCGTTGAAAAGGCCAAGACAATATCCAAATCCTTATTTATTAAAATACATTGTTTTTTATTTTATTTTTCAATTTTTTTTGTTTATATGCAGAGATTTTTAGACAGAATTTATTTACAGAGATTACTTTCCATTACAGACCGCATATGAATGATTGCATATGAAGACTGTTCAACTATTTATTTATTTATTTATTTATTTATACATGTATTATATTTAATTTGTATTTGTATTTTTTTAATTTTTTAAATTACCGAAGATCTTTCACGGAAGTTACTCTCAATCTGGTATTGAGGGCAGCCTACCAACCTTCCTCCCCTTACCTTATTGTATATAGAAATAGAATTTTGTTGTTGTTGTTAATGATATAAACTCATAAAATTGGGTAGCCAAAGCTTTGAAGTAACTAATAATTAAAAGTTAACAGTGACAATGTTCTATAAGATATTTTTGAGTTTGAATCTTTGTAGATAAAATATATTCGAGCTCAAATCATTACCAATTCAAATCAATGCAGACAGATTTCGAACTCGAACATATTTTGTTAGCACTAATCGTATATTTATAGAATACAATAATTGGCGTGGCAAATAGGATTTAAATGAGATGAGACAGATGATGAGCTACTCGAGATCGATTCGGTCAAAGCTCGATAAATATTCGATTCGAATGGACTAGACCTGAGTTTGAGCTCGACTCGAGTTTTTAACGAGTCAAAACGAGCTATTTGATACTCAATTCAAAAAGCTCGTGAGCAACTCGAAAATATAATATATTAAGATTTTTTTTATAAAAAATTCGAGTTTGTGTTTTAACCTTTAATTGAATTAAATTTAAGATTTTTTTCTTTACGAGGTTCAATTCATGATTTTGAATTCGAGTCGAGTTTAAAAATTTTAACCTTACGAGTTTTCAAATCGAGTCGAGCTCCATTTCAGAGTTTTTCAGTTGAGTCAAGCTTGACTCGAATCGTTTACAGCCATATCAGCAAACAAATAATACCCAGACTAATATATTTGTGTCTCGGATACTGAAACTACTATTATGAGTTTGTTTTTTAGTCTACATATGCATGTCTATACACTTACTGTATAAGTCTATAAAGTTCAGTTTATGCAGGGGATATTTGATATTGTATACTGTGTATTTTCAAGTGACTGCCTCGACCAGCCTGACTAAGGTAAATTACATTCTCCATCATCGAATGAACGGCCCCTGCGACTGGCTGGTAGATCGAGTTGCAGGGCTGTGGGTGAATTTTAGATTGTGAATCAATCGTCGTAGGTTGCCAAGGGATTCTGGATCACCCTGAAAAGTAAATTAATTAGCATGTGGAATTGTTCAAAGGCATTGCTTTTCTTCTCTAGAAACACAGAATGTAGCTTACTTGGAGGATATTGACATATTTGTACTCCATCAACTTCCACGGAACGTAGCTTGACAATTGTTGTCGTGTCCTACATGCAGAAACAAGTTCCAAGAGAATGAACCGGTAAATATGATATATACACGTCTATATGTATATAGAGAACATGTATTTTTTTTTTTTGGCTAACCTTTGGTTTTCCGATAGCCTGAGATAACAACCGATGATGTTCCTCAGCAGGCGCGGCAAATTTTCATCATCTTCTTCACCGAGACTTTCGATCACTTTCGCCAAACATTGGCTTACAGCAAGATATCGTTCCGCAAGAATGAAACAGTACTTGAGACCTTTCTCATTCAGTAAGATTCTGTAAATTATAAATGTGGCAACCTGTGGTGTACATGATATTAGCAGCTGATAATGTTAGTTTCAAGGATTTAGCTAAGTATGTTAATCCGAACTCTTTTTTTCCCTGAAGTACCCGTATCCGACATATTTCTAATATGGATATACCAGGTCGTTATCTTTTAAACATATGAAACCTTATGTCAGACATGTACCAAGGTAACATAGCTGTGTACAGAAATTTTTTCCCTTGCAATTTATCAAGCCTGAACATTTTTATAAGCCACTAGGTGTTGTTGGTTTTGATTCATATCCAATATTGTGATAGATTTCTCTATTTAAGAACCACTCACTGTTTTTGACAATGTCCTGCCAAACTCCAAGCAGCGTAGGCAACTAGGAAATATCTGGGTAGAAAGAAGGTATTCGACCACATCTGGATCATCAACCTGCACAAACCGAAAACTTGATAAAGACGAGCCAAGAGATAGTAAAATACATTAACTGACAAACCGTTCAATTCAACTCCATGAGTTCTAATGATGCAAGTATTCTGCAAGAGATTGACATGAGAACAGAAGAGAGGATGTAAGGGAAGGCTACCTTTGCTAGTGAGCCAATGACACCTAAGCTGGTGAGCCTTAGACATTCATAGTTCCTTTCACTGCTCATGGTGTTCAGGAAGGGGTAAAGATACACTGGCATAGTGGCTACAAAGAAATATTTCAATTAGAACAGGTTGTGTAATGCAACCAACAAATTATGATAATTTTTTAAGCAAAACAATTGAATTTTAAGACTTATGAAGTTCCTAAATTAATCATGTATTTGGAGGACTAAAAGTGCAGTTACCTCTGACGAATGCCATCTTTGTATCAGGGTGAGAAGCTACAGGCTGTAAATATACAAGGAACGGATGTATTTAAGCTTTTCAAAGAATTAACAATTACCAAAATCCAAAAATACATAGACAAATTAATACAGACTTCACTAGTGTTAACCGAAGAATCATCTTTGAAGTTCTCAACTCCAAGCTTAAGATATTAAAATAGGCTACAATGACAAGAATTCATTTTGTACAATAAAACACCGCATGTTTGGACCAATATCCATTGATAGAATCATTGAAGTAACAGGCTAAAACTTGCCAATGTTCATGCACAAAAATAGAACTAGAAGGATGGACCTGGAGAAGCGCTATGGCATTGCAAACTTGTGTTACCGCTTTGTCTGTGATGGTATCGGATAATAATGGACGGTAAGCTGAAGTTATTACCTGAATAATGAAAAGATATACAATCATATAGTGGTACGGGCATTTTATCTATCAATAAAGCTTTCAAGTCTATTATTTTTCTTGGAGAATAACATTGGTCAGATGGATAAGTAGTACTGTTCTAGAGATGCATGAGAATTGATTATTACAATGAGTAAAATAACAACATTAAAATTTTAAATAGATAAATAAACCATGCTTGCTAGATGCATGAAATCTACTGTACTTATGAACAGTGAGTATAAGATACAAGTACGTGCTACATAGGAATGAGTTTATCGTCTTCTTCAATTTTTTATTGTAATATTAAAGAATCGTTCGTATTCATATTTGAAATTGATGTTAACATTAATACTTAAAAAAATGAAATGCCAAAGACTAATACTTAAAAGCAATAAAAATAAATAGGTTGAAGTAACATAGAATAGAATGAAATAGCAAAACCTACCTCTAAAAGGACCTTCATAGTGCCAAAAGAATTCCATAATAAAATTGCCAAATTCTCACAAGTGTGTCTATTCTGAGGAGATACGAAAAGATTACAAATGAGCCAAAAATATCATACTTATTACTAGAAAGCCAATATTATATCTAATGATCAGAGCCCTAACTTTGGTGAAATAAGATCTCAAAAACGAAAAGAAATGAGAGTAACGATCATGAAAAAAGAGTGCAAATCCTTTTGAAATATCAAAAATGGTTCAGTCATTCTTTAATAACCCAACAAAAACTGACGAATAAGATTCCTGAGATGTTCAAACTCTTTCAAATGGTTTTTTGTATTATTTGATCACCTTTTTTTAGAAAACAAAGGAAGCTGAAGCTATACCTTGCAGAGAATGTCTAGAGACTGCTCTCGGGTTTCAAGAGAATCGAGTCCTCGAATCAAACGAGTGATGCCGGCAGTAGCGTTGCGGGTGGAGTCGACTGCCGCGGCACCTGAAACCATTTCGTCCGTCGGAGAGAGACTAGAAAGGAAGACAAAAGAACAGAGGAGTGACTATAAAATGCTGTGAGAGTGTGAGTAGCACAAGGAAGAAGAGTTGAAAACGGTAGTGATAAAAGGAGAGGGGGTCGTACGTTTCCTTGAGCAGTCGCCCACTCACACTGAAATTCTCAGATTGTCTTTTGTTCTCTTTGGACTTTTTTGCCAGGTCGTCAATGGCGACAAAAGTAATTGGATTAGCAAAACCAGATTCGCTGATTTTGCTTCTACCCACATGGACCACAACTTCAGGCGTTAAGGGTTTCAAAAGCGCTTATTTTTTTTGGTATATTACGTATTTAGTATTTAAATTATCAGTTTTAATCCGTTTTAATATCTAAACTTTTAATTTTTTTTAAAATAATATCTAATGTTTTGTTTTTATTTCATTTTAGTACCTTACCATTCAAAATTTAACGAGACAGCATTTTTTATGGGTAGACTACACCATTTATCCCTCAATTATCTTTTAACTCCTATTTTGGTACTAAAGATTAAAAATTTTCAATTTAACTACTCAATTTTCAAATTGCTCTTTTTTTAATCACTATAATTTATTTTATTAGTATTTTTTGTGACATGACCTTTTTTTTATTATTTTATATAAAAAATAAAAATAAAAAAATTGAAATTTAGAGTGATTAAATTAGGAGTAATTTGAAGGTTAAGTAATTAAATTAAAAAAAATTTAAACTTTAGTGATCAAAATAGGAGTGAGAAGATAATTGAGTAATGGATGATATAATTTATCTATAAAAAAGATGCCATGTGGAAATCAACCGTTAAGTTTTTAACGGTGAGGTACTAAAACAAAACAAAGATTAAACATTAGGTATGCTTTTGAAAAATTAAAAGTTTAGATACTAAAATAGACCAAAATTGATAGTTAAAGTATTAAACACGTAATTTACCCTAATTTTTTTTGAAAAAAAAAACAAATCAGTATTTTTAGTTCAATTACTCACAAATTCTGACAAAAAATATAAGATATAAATTTATATTATATTTTATATTTTAGTGATCTAAATTATTTATAAATGTATATCTTAGTATATTTTATATTTTGTAAGTTAAAAATATAGTATATTTTGTAAGTTAAAAATCACTAAAATTCCACATTTTTTTTAACTTCAAATTTTCTAATAACTTGTTTTGATTATATGGAACTTTCTTGATTAGTCTTCGACGAGAAATAACCCAAACAAATACAGACCACGATAAAATTCTGTAATGAAATACCATTGGACTAAAAAAAGAATAAAGAAGTTGCAAAATTAAAAATAATCTGAAATTATGCGTATAACTATATTAGTTTTTATTTATGAATTAAAAACATATTTAAAGTTCTCTATTATACTTGATTAATCGGTACCTACAAATCAATTATACTAAAATATATTATAATTATACTCAAATCTAATTATCACGTGATTTTCTCTTTTTTATAACAGTCATCATTATTAATAATCTTTTTTCTTATTTCAGTTTTAATTAGGAGGATTATATCACAATTAAGTATAGGTTCGAAACTAAGTATAGTTTCAGAGGGGCCACTGCCCTCCCCCCAAAACAAATTTTCTATTATTAAAAAATATATATGAATAAATATCTATTTAGACCTTCAAGTTCTGATTTATTTTGATTTTGCCCCTCCTGTTTTTTATTGTTAATTATGCTTGGCTCCATTGAACTAAGTTTCTGACTTCGTCCCTGAATAAATACCTAAAGTATATTACTTTTTTTTTATTTAAGTACCTAAAGTAGTTTTTGGTCAAAATAAATACCATGAAGACAAAAACAGTCTTTTTGGATTCAAGGATAAACGACAGGCATGATAACAGACAAAAACAACATCAATTCACCATGAAGATCACAACATGACACACGTAGAATGTACAGTTAAAATACTAACATGTTGCAACTTTTAAAGTAAGATAAAGCGATCAGAAACTAAAGAACAATATAATCACCAAGGGTCACAGATAGGGGCTTACACTGATTCTAGGTCCTACCTCAAATTGTGATGATAAAGTAGCATTACTTTCTCCTCCTAGACATGAAACTATTTTCAAGATTCCAATTAGACCCATCTTTTTGTACTTCAGATCTGGATGACTGACCTGCCCAATTGAAGGTAATGCTAGTCAAAACAACCACCATTACTAAGATCCTCGATTCAAATCTACGGTACAGAAATTTTAGACATAACATCTAAAAGTTGCACAAAATGTCAATGTTCAAAGCACTCTATGGTTAACAGCCATGCTAGCACAACATACCTGCCTCCGAACAATTATAAAAAGTTCATTCGCCATGGAAGAGCTCAGACAGTCAACGTTAGAGCGAGCTAGCAGTGTCATATGGCTGAAGACCTCATAAACCTGCACTAGATGAGTGTAAATGGAACTGGCACATACAACTTTGTCCTTATAAAGCTTAAGAGTGTAGAAAAATAATAAGCAGCATAAACCTTATAAAGACTTTCTACAGTCAATCCCTCCAAGTAGTCCAGGATTCCTGAGAAGTAACATTAAACTAATGAAGAACACAACAGCAGAAAAAGATAAAGAAAATTCAAAAGCAAAAGCTTACCTACCATTTATATGAGAAGAAAGTGGAATGAGTTCCCTTGCATGTTTTGTGGCAAGTGAAGCCATAATCTGCTGAGCAGAACTAACTTCAAAACTAACAGCAGAGCCCACATGAGTAACTAGTGAACCAAGAATCTGCATAAAGCCACATGAAAGTCTCTTAAAGAAAATGTACTTAATCAGATAAGGGAAGATATTGATCCTTACTTCCTGTCTTGAATAGGAATCAGCAAACTCTTCAAAAAGGTGTTTAAGAAGAAAATTATTGAAGGTTGTATTCAAGAAGTTATGCTTGATCAATGCATTTGTGGGAGCAAGGAACTGGCTCAGGTATATGTTGCTCTTCTTTGGCACGAAGATTGTTTGAATTTTGCTGAATATATTCCAGAAACTCATTTTGTTATTTTCTTGTTTTTCTGTTAGGAATATTTCCTGGCCTTCCTTTCTTTTGCTGAGTAGGTATTGGCTTGCAAAGAACAAAAGGCCAGTGATCTCGAGGTTTTTCAAGGCCATTCAATTCCTTCTAAATCTCTTGACAGAGTAGCTATAGATAATGTGTAGATATAGAACAGGGTATTAAATTAGAACATATATCTTCAAATAAGAAAGAGGATATAGAAAACATGTATTGCCAAATAAGGAAGAGGGCAAGTTACTTACACTCTTAAATTGAAGGCTAGATCGCAATGCATCTAGAATGGATGCCTCAGTGTTGTCAACAAGCAATTTCCCTTTGAGTTTATTCTTTTGCATTGTGCGATTATGTGGTATCCTAACAAACTGTAAATGCTCACGTATCTGTGAGATTATCCTGCGAACATTTAGTTGTGTGGCAGAGAGTAGTAAAAATTGAATCAGACATGACATGTGCTCCGCATCAATTGTTCTAATGCATGATAGTGCTATAGTTATGACCTTCAATGTGAAGAAATAGAATTAAATTAGATATCAATGCAAATGCAACATAGCACCTTAAAATTTTAATTGGTTGCTAAAAATATCTTGCAATGATGAAAAGAAGAGGGATCAAGTCAAGTCTCTCCAGTCAAAAAAAAAATGGAAAACCCACTTGAAATGAAAATACTTTTATATTGTTAGAGAGTATTTAGTTGGGCTACTGACATTAAATATTCTGAAATCAACAAGCAGGAAAATATATAGACATACATTTAATGAAAATGCAGGAAGGACGAATGAAAAGTGCATTAAAGGCAAGTAAAGATGATTATGGTGATCAAATTACTATTTGGAACTCCTCTGCAGATCTAGGTTTAATGTTATTAGTGGCCGGTTCAGTTCATGTTGTTTCCAAACAGTTTACTTCTCGTTGCATTAAATAGCTGTATTATTGTAAGAAAAGAAGTCAAAATATTGAACCCGATATTTATCAGTCTTTTATGCTGAAGAGCAGAAAGTGTCAATTGCATTACCCTTGCAATAACTACATTACATTACAAGAAATGTCTCTATATAATAGAACATTAAAATAAAATTTTAAAGGAAAAAATAAGGTAAACCACATGAGGGGAAATTAAAGAGAAGATGATATACCTGTTCTTGCAACTGATGGTCCAAATTAAGATTTGAAAAAGAGTCGAGCACAGGAACAATTACAGATGGGTCCTCATGAAGCATTTGTTCAAGGGAATCAACCACAGTCTTGTTATTCTGATCACCAATGATCTCAGGCAATGATCCAATTATCTCTTTTTTCAAGTGTAAAGGGCAAATGGAAAGCACTTGCAATAACTTATCCGTGAAGGAACTAGGATCAACAACAAAATCAAGCCACCGAAACTGATTAATGATAAGCCTAGCAACATCGTCTTCAAGGGACAATGACGTTTCGGAATCTCCGGAAACCGTGTCAAAATATTCAGGAAGTTTCTCAAGGAGCATAATTTGAAGGTCTAATTGAATTGGTGCAACCAGCAAAATATGTCGAACTAAGCTTTCATTTCTAGCGGGTCCAAAACTACTTCCGTGTGAAGATATGAGAACCCTGAAAGCATTTAAATCAAAAACAAAACAAAAAATAACACGAGGCATTTTCTCATCGATACCAATAGAATAAGCAATCTGAAAACCTTAAAGCACCTTCCAACTGAATCCCGCAATATTTTCAACAAAACATATATAGAAAGATGGATTAATTGATTAATCCTAAAATTCAATAAATAATAAAGATAAGGCTTAAAAATAACTAAATAGAATCTAATACACTAAGATGGCGTTTGGTTGGATGGAATCCCTTGGAATTGGTGAGAATTGGAATCTAATTCCACCACTTTCTCATGTTTGGTTCAAGTTTTTCAAAGGAATTGGAATCCCTGATGGAATTCAATTCTATCAAATGAGAGAAAGTAAATTTCATCCAAAAATTGATGAAATTCAATTACCTTGTTGGAGGAAATTGAAATTTGACCATACTACCCTCATCAATCTTTTGGTAACTTATTCATATATTGAATAAAAATATTTTTTTATTATTTCGGGTCGAGTCAGGTTTCTAATTCATATATTCGGGTCGGGTCGGGTGAAACTTTATTTTGGTCGGGTCGGGTTTTTTTAAGTGTGATATTCGGGTCGGGTCGGGTTCGGGTTTAGGGTGAAAAAAACCGGACCGACCCAAAAATATATATAATTTTACCTTATATATTTAGGAATTATTACAATAATACCCCTCTTTATATATATTTTTTCAATTAAGTCACTGTTTTTATTAAATAAAAATATTTTTTTATTATTTCGGGTCGGGCCGGGTCGGATTTCTAATTCATATATTCGGGTCGGGTCGGGTGAAACTTTATTTTGTTTGGGTCAGGTTTTTTAAGTGTGATATTCGGGTCGAGTTCGGGTTTAGGGTAAAAAAACTGGACCGACCCGAAAATATATATAATTTTACCTTATATATTTAGAAATAATTACAATAATACCCCTCTCTATATATATTTTTTCAATTAAGTCACTGTTTTTATTAAATAAAAACAATTTTTTTTATTTCGGGTCGGATTTCTAATTCATATATTCGGGTTGGGTCGGGTGAAACTTTATTTTGTTCGGGTCGGGATTTTTAAGTGTGATATTCGGGTCGAGTCGGGTCGAATTTTTTTAAGTGTGATATTCGGGTCGGATCGTCAGAAAGGGATCAGAGGGCAGGGAGGGCGAGCCCAAGGGATTAACCAAGGTACAACCGCCCTCGGCCAAAATTAAAACCATCTTCTCAACAGCATCAACGGCTGTGCCTTTGTCGTTTTGAGATTTGGGGATTTTGGGCAGAGGAAATGGAGAGACAAAGGAAGAGGAAGATCTCTTCCATGATGGTTGTTGGTGGCGGAGAAATACCATGTTTTTTCCTCCTCTCAAAGTTCACTTAGAGCTGCATCGTTTCGGCGGTGATTGGTTTAGAGTTTTTCCCTTTGCTTATTTGGAATTTTGGATACACGTCGAGAAATAACGCGCCAAATTTCAAAAGAAGGAACCGATATTTTTCAATATATAAAATTTTAAGTGCATTACACATCCCTAAACTATGTTTCTTACTATAAAATTATCCTCAACTTTTATGTATTTCAATTTCATCCTCAAATTATGACTATCGTTCTAAATTAATCCTCAAACTTTTGAATATTCCAAATTTATCTTCAGACTATAACCATCATTATATATTATTACTCAAACTTTTAAATGTTCTAATTTCATCCCAAACCTTTGAATGATTTAAGACATATTGTGTAACACCCCCAACATGTACCCGACCCGAATACGAATATGAGGTGTTACATTAACTTTTCAAAACGTTTACTCTTACAAGATAGTTGAAAATTCAATTTTACATTTCAATAAAACTGAATATTTTACATTAATTACAATCATATGATTTTACAAAACCGATAAGAGCATATCTTATTCAAATCTTTAATTACATGCCAACTGCATTTACTATAACAAAATCCATATGATTACATTATTTTCTGATCTAACCTTTGGAAAGGAGAAGTTGACCTGACTTGCCTATCTTTGCTCCTTAATCTTCTCGGAACCTACATGTAAAACATTCACACGCTAAGTCAATGACTTAATGAGACATATAAAACATATAATAGAAACCTTAAGTACATAACAAAATCAAAGTCTGTTATACAATAATATAATACCAATCACCATAGAATGTTTCATATAACAAAATACACACACGTACATATATCATCTTGATCAACATTAAACATCATTATCATTATCATCACAATCACTGTTCAAAACCATTAAACCATTTAATGCATATGGTCTTGTACTTAACACTTGTAAGACATCATATAATATATTTCACAATACAAAACACATTACATCACACACTGTTTATTTAGATTATGTCTTTTAGTTGTTCATGGTACACTTCTGAGAACTAAATATATATGAGTGCATTGAGGTTGTGCACAAATGTTGTCACCACAGCTCGTATAATTTGAATTGAGTGCCATATATAATGTCCCAAAGGACCACATATATGTCCCGAAGGACCACGTAGAAATGTCCCAAAGGACCAAGTAGAATTGTCCCGAAGGACCACATATATGTGTCCTAAATGACCGTGTAGAACCCTTGACTCTTGGCATGCCAATTATACCCCCAGCTCTCATATCACATACTATGGGATTTACCATTTATATTATTTCTTATTTCTTATTTCACATAGACCAATAATCATGTAGGTTATGTCACATAGCTTATATCTCATGTTCATGTAATCACGTAGATCATGTCACATATCTTATATCTTGTTCTCATATGTTCACATAGATCACATAGCATATAGAATAACATATATCACATAGCTTATCTCACCGTTTCACATAATCACTTATATACTAGTCCCATGTCTTCACTTAGTTCAGTTTCACATAACTTGTCACATAGATTATTGTCATATAATGCAAATCACATACCATGAAATGCAAACAAGACATATTCACATAGTACAAAGTCATGATCATGCTTCTATTCATGCAATCATATATTCAAAATATCAAAATTAGACTTGTCGCAAGTCTAGTTTTTATATAGTAATTCATATATCCTAATCGTATGCACTCACCTTGGCCTCACTAGTCAATTCAAACACTTATGACTCTTGTACACTCTTATAGCTTTGAATCGTCTTGGACTTGCCTTCGATCGATATCGATACAAATATACGACTTATATGAATATCGAAGTTCGAATTGCTTATAACCAATCAATATAACTTAAGCTGAAAGAAACACTTAATTTAGCATTTCAGACTCAATAGTATTGGTACTCCCACTACAGTATAGATATTACTCTTCTAGGGTATCGATACCCCCTTCGGTACCGATACCATTTTGACATTCTGAAATTTTAACTTGATAATGGTATCGATACTAGACCCTTGGTATCGATATCCCCTTATCAATATCGATACCTTCCTTAAACAGTACCGATACTACTCCTTAGGTATCGATACTTCTTAAAGATTTCATCTGCTTTTACTCTATGGTATCGATAATGTTCATACAATATAGATACCCAGACCCAATTATCATATATATTTACTTTTGTGTATCTATACTGTTCATACAATATCAATACCCCTTACTCAGAACTTATTCATTATAACCTGAAAATCAACCATACTCAACTAAATTCCTCATTTTACTCTTCTTTCAAGCCTTTAAACTCAACCACACTTATTCAAATCAACTTATCTCACTTTAACTCATCTTAACATCCAATATCTAACTAGTACACTTGAATTCAATAATCATATTAATTTATCAACATGTTCCAAATTCATTTCTAACACTTTAAATTTTTTATTCTAACTGATGACAAGTCAAATTTAACCTCAAACAAGTCAAATTTAACCTCAAACTTCCCTTACTAACTCTTTCTCAACAAGTCGCTTAAAAATTTCTTATATTCAATCTCTCATAATTTATCCATCTTTGAGTTTAATACCACTTTAAGCTTTCCTTAAGCTTTCCAAACACCTCAAGAATCAAAACCATGACTAAAGTACAAGAATTAACCGAATAGAAAATTTCTCACCTTAGCTATAGAGCTCACGAGAAGAAGAAATAAAGAATGAAGAAAGTCTAGAGTTCTCTAATTATTTCTTTCCTTTCCACATGGTTATATAAACAACCATAATGGTTTTTAATTGTTTTATTGTCTAATGAACAATATGCCCTTCCAACTTCCTTTATTTGCTATTCAATCTTACACCAACAATTTTCCAAATAAATCCCTAAACTTTTCAATTTATCAAATTTGATCATGAAATTTTAAAATCTTGCAATCTAGTCACTAACCCGGTGTTTGGGATGTTACATATTGAATCATTCAAAATTTTGACCTTTTTAATTTGTATAATGATTTATAGTTATAACGTAAAAATTCAATAGACTCTCTAAAATTTATATCAAATCTCTACTATAAATTTATCAAAATGTTTAGTAATATAGTCTTCAAAATGCATTTGATAATTAAAAATTAAATCCATGTAATAAAACTTTTTAATAAAAATTTATCAGAAACTATAATAATAAATAAATAAATAAAAAGTTATTTATCATTAAATATAAATATATTTTATACAATTTATTTTATGTTATTATTTTTTCTTTGAAAAGCATAATAACTTTTAAAATTTATATTTATTTAATAATTTAATCTAAATATATCTTTATATTTAATTTTAATTAATATATCAAACAAATTTTATTACTTAAAAAATTTCCCTCCTGGTTCCAATGCTTAGCCCTGATTAATCCATACTAACCCGCATTGCACACCTGATTTTGGTGGGAATGTCTCCCAATGGGGACTTTTTGCATATAAAAGAACTAAAACTTGATATTTTGCTTAAGATATATCAAGTTGGTTACCACTTGACTATCCCGTTGGTTACTTAATTTTAGTATTTATATTTTGAATTCTTAAATTTTTT